CTCGCGCGCGCGCGCGCACGCGCGGGCTCCGAGGCGGGGCGAGGGGGCGAGCGGCGCGAGTGCGGGCGGGCGGGCGGGCGAGCGAGCGAGGGTCGCTGTAGATCTGCGGGCACTCCGGGCCCTAGCCGCGCCTGCGAGTCTCTGCCCGCCGCCGGGCGGACGAGGGAAGCGGGGAAGGCGGCGGTGGGGGCGGGGCGGCGTCGGGCCTTGGGCGAGCTGGGGGAGGAGCGCGGCAGCGACGGCAGCGGCTCCCGAGGACGAGGGCGAGGAGGAGGCGGAGGCTCTTCTTTCCTCATCCCAGACCCGGGAGCGTCCGGAACGCAGAGCCCGGAACTGGGGGACGCGGCGGCTGCAGGGAGCCCGGGCTAGGTGAGGCTGGGGGTGTTGGGTGAAGTGGGTGGCGGGGGCGAGAGCGGCCGGAGGTGGAGGGAGGGCTCGAGGAAGGGAAAAGAGGGAAGGGGCAGTTGTTGGGGGTTGGGGTACCGAGAGGAGGGGGACCGGGAGCCCTTCCGGACCTGCAGTGTTGAGAGGGCCGTGGGTTTCTGGGGTTAATGGGGCGAGCGAAGCACACGGGTCCGAGTTGGGGAGTTTCCGGAGGATAGGCCGGAGAAACAATGGAGTGAGGGGGACTCCGGCGTGAGCGTGTGTGCGGTCCTGGATTTAAGAACTATGTGCGGGATCGAAAAGAATGAAATAATGGGTCATTTGAAATGTGAAGTACGGCGAGATGGGCATGTGTAAAGTCTTCTGCATGGTGTCAGCGGTGCTTAGGACGCAAGTGCCATCATGGGACTTAAAGGGTAGAAGGACAATTTGAGAGGAAAACGGACTAGAAAAGGCAAAGAGAGGCAAAGAAATACGAGTTTGGTCTTGAATGAAAGCAGAGCCTAGGAAAGGTGCATTAAAGGGTCTTCGTCTCCCAATTCATCCAAGATGATTGGATTTTGTTTCAGAAAGTGGGTTAGTTTTGTCCCCTTTGCTAAGGCTTGCAAACCAGTCTCCCGGTAATTTTATTATTTTTTTTATAGTTCATTTTATTGTCAGGCAAAACTGTAATATTCATTCCCGATCAGCTCAGCAGACTACTGTACATAATTTCTCCGTATTTATTGAAGCAAGAGAGAACACATTACCAGCAATACTTTACCATGAGCGAGGTCGGCGGTACTGCGGAGTTCAAGGTGTTTGGACTGAAAAGTAATGAATAACTGGGGTTTAAAAAAAATAATTAAGTTGTCTGTCCTTTGTTAGAATTTTTATTTCCCATTGAGAAATTTCCCCGCTGGAAAATGTTTTTAAACCATCTAGTTCTGGTTTTGGGCTTGGGGAAGAGAATTTGGCGTTTTTTGTTTTAGGAATTGTTCAGGGATGCTGATAACTAATAATCAAGCTGCTTCAACGTTCTTGCATTTTGAGTTAAGATGGTTTGGGAATACTGTGAAAAAGTATTTCTGGGTTATGGACTTTGTATCCCACACCCCTCAGACTCCTCCCCTTGGAGGGGGTCTTAGTCTTTATCTGTAACTTAGGCTGGCTTGTGACCTATTGTGTAACCCCAGTTTGCCCTTGAAGTGGAAGTTCTTTTGCCTCATACTCCCAGCTGCTGGGATTACAGGTGTGAGCCACTATGCAGGACTTGTATTTTTTTTTTTTTATTTATTATATATGAATACACTGTAGCTGTCTTCAGACACACCAGAAGAGGGCAGCGAATCTCATTACGGATGGTTGTAAGCCACCATGTGGTTGCTGGGATTTGAACTCAGGACCTCTGAAAGAGCAGTCAGTGCTCTTAACCACTGAGCCATCTCTCCAGCCCCGGACTTGTATTTTCTTGATACTTTGATTTCCAGGCCAAATTTGATACAGCATTGACTAGACGATCACTGATTCCGAAGCTATAATTATCATTATGCATTCATAGATGTGTGCATTAAAAGCTTTTCATTTGTGAGCCATGAAGTTTTGCTGACTCATCTAAACTAAAATTTCGGGGCAGTCATCGGTTTATAGTTTTCAGCTGTGTTTCTGATAGCAGGCGGCATTAGGCTACCTTATAAATATCCTTATAAAATCATGATCTAAAATATACCTTTAAAAATTCTTATTTATAACCCAATGGTGGCAGTGCATGTCTTTAATCCCAGCACTCAGGAAGCAGAAGCAGGCAGATCTCTGTGAGTTCCAGGCCAGCCTGGTTTACAGAGTGAGTTCCAGGCAGCCAGGGCCATGCAAAGAAATCCTATCTTGAAAAACAACAACAACAACAACAAGATAAAAACAAATGGAAAAAATTTAAAAATTTAAAAAGAAATTCTTATTATTTTAAATGATGTGTGTGTCAGTGTGTTTGTGCATTCCAGTGCAGCCAGAAGAGGGGGTGGGATTCCCTGGAACTGGGGATGAGTCGGTGTTGAGCCTCCCGAAGTGGGTACTAGGAATCAAACTCTGGACCTTTGCAAGAGCAGTACATATGCTTAACCACTAGAGCCGTTTGCCAGGTCTCTAAATTGTATGTAAAATTTAAAAAACATTTTAGAGACGCTATCACTCTGTAGCCCAAGCTGGCCTGTGATTTGTAATGAATTCTGTCTCAGCCTCCAGAGTTCTGGTGTTACAGGCACATGAGGCGAAGCAGCCATGCCTGGATAAATGGTATTTATACAGGAGTCGAGTGAGAAGCCAGATGCACTACTTGAGAAGTACAGATTGCAGGAGTACAATCTCCACACTTGGGAAGCTTCCTGAGGGTCAGAGGCTCAAGGGCGTCCATCTTTGCCTGCATAGTTTGAGATCATCTTGGACTTGCACTACGGGAAGCCCAGGTCTCACCCCTCGTCTCCCCAGGTCAAAGAGACCTGAGAGAGTATAGCGTCCTCAATGGTGATGTGTGGCTCTTGACCCTTTAGTGGGCTAGGCAAAGTGCTAAGATTGCTTTTTCATGTATAATCTCATTTAATTAATAATCACATTTAATAGAATTCGCTTTATAAATTTAGAGATTAAAAAAAAAATCCAGGCAGTCGTGGAGCATGCCTTTAATCCCTGCACTCAGGAAGCGGAGGCAGGCAGATCTCTTGAGTTTGAGGCCAGCCTGGTCTACAGAGCGATTTTTCAGGATAGCCAGGCTACAAAAAGAAATCTTTTTTTTTTTTTTTTTTTTTTTTTTTTTGTGGTTTTCGAGACAGGGTTTCTCTGTGTATCCCTATCCCTGGCTGTCCTGGAACTCACTCTATAGACCAGGCTGGCTTCGAACTCAGAAATCCACCTGTCTCTGCCTCCCAAGTGCTGGATTAAAGTCGTGTGCCACCACTGCCCGGCAAGAAATCTTGTTTAGGGAAAAAAAAAAAAACAAGTAAATAAATTTAGAGATTAAATAATTTGCTACGATCACAGAATGAGTGAGTGTGAGGACATTGGACCCAGACCTTTCTCTGTTTGCACGGCTTCTTTAATTTTTCAGTCCTCCTGCTCCTCCCACCTCCTGCAGGCCAGGATTACAGGGGATTACAGACCTGCAGTGTGGCATGGTGTGGCATGGAACCTAGGGCTGCGTACTCTGTCAGCTGACTGAGCTGACTGACGGTCCCCCTCGTCTCTTGTATTTTCGCCTTTTCTTTTGAGGCAGTCTCGCTGTAGCCCCTGCTGACTGGGAACTCACAGAGAGCCATCCACCTCTGACTCCTGAGCACTGGGAGTAACATGTGCCACCAGGCCACGTCCTGCGGTCCTCTCTTACTCTTCTGACACAGGTTTCGTGTTATGGCTCACACTTGCCACCCACCTCAGCCTCCCAACTGTTGGCATTGGAGGAATGAACTGGCATATCCACCCTTTTCAAAACAGATTTTGAGCTCGAGTGTGTGTGTGTCTGTCTGTCTGTCTATATGTCTATGTCTGTCCCTGTGTGTGTATGCTGGAGCTGGAGTTAGCCATGAGCTTCCTGACGTGGGAACCAAACTATTGGAAGAGCTAACTGCTAAGCCATACTGCTGTAAAGCAGAATGAACCAGTTGAAACTTGAGTCTTGCCTCCCCTCCCATCCTCTGTCCTTCTGGAGATGGTCTTGTAATACAGCCCAGTCTCTCCTTAGTCTTCAGCCTCAGCCCTCCAGATGTTGCGACTACAGGCATGTGAACATCCGTCTTGACGACAAATGGTGCTTTTTGCTGGGATTGGTTTGTAGAGTAACTCCATCTGTAGAATCTTTGAAGAGTTTGCTGCTCCCGTGGTTTTGAAGGCTTCTAGGGTTCTGGTGATAGTGCTAAAATGAATCTCACTGAGGTTTGTCCTGTGATGACACTTTTTCTGTCCTGTCTGGTTGAAGAAGTGTGGCGCATGGTACTCATACTTGGAGGAGTCAAGGCAGCCGGTTGCAGAGCCAGAACCAATTAACTTGGGAAAACAATTGAAAACTGCTCAGTGCTCAAGAGCTCTCCAAGCACCTGTTGATCCCGCAGTTGATACCCGTATTATGTCTAAATATAGACAGGAAACCCAGAATGGATGGAACAGAGAAACAGCTGGGGCCTGAGGGAGGAGCTGTAGGTTACTGGCCAAAACACCAGCCTGCTCCTTAGAGGCTGATCAGGCTACAGATGCTAGTGAATAACAGGAGGGGAGGGGAGGGGAGGGAAGGGGAGGGGAGGTCATTTTCTTTTGTTGAGGTTTTATGTGTTCCAGGTGCTGAACAATCACTCAATATTGGTATCAGAAGAAATCTCTATGTACTTTTTTTTTTTTTTTTAAGTTGTTACCCGTAGTTTCCCATTGTAGAACCAGCACACTGAAGCCGGGAATGACAAAGCTACTGGTCTTTCGGACTGCATTACTTTTCTCTTAGAAGTACAGCTGCTCAGATCAGTCTTGCTGCTTTCAGGGGAAGTTGGTAGGAAAGGCCCTTGTTTGTTTTGCCTCAGGGAAGGAAGCACCCCTTCATCACGTGACCAAAAGACCTCATGTAGAATAGGGCTCAGCTTCCTTAGCTGTGTTCAGTTCAGCATTAGGAAGATGCCTGTCGGTTCCCTTTGTACTGAGGGCCTGACTTTCTGGGTAAACCATCTGGGCTCTAGTCAGCACAGTGTGCCTGGTCGGTCACCTTACCGTTTTTGTTTTTGTTGGTTGTTTTTGTTTTTTAATATGTTTTTGCCATAAAGGGTTAACTATTCTTTCTTGTTTGTTTGGTTTTTTGTTTATTACTTTGGTAAAATATAAATCTAGCTCAGTCAGGTCTACACAGGGAAGACTCTGTCTCAAACAAACAAGCAAATAAACAAACCACAAACTTTTACTAATTTATTAAACCAGAGTCAGGTTAGAGGACGTTTTGACCATTTTAATGTACAGACTGCAGCATAGATACTCTCATG